AAGATTCGAGTCCTAGCAGACAAGTTCCAAAGGTTGGAATCCATCCCGAGGTGTGGATACGTATAGAGGGCAAGGTATTCTTCCTGTCTAAAGTGATCGGACGAACATATCAATTTATACAGGCCCCGGATCGATTGAGGTAAGCGTTCTATCGTTTCTACAAGATCATGCATGATACGCCTAGCCCGAACGGTCTGGTCCCCTGGACCGGACGGTCTAGGGTTCGTCGTTCCTCTGGACTAGACGATCCAGTCCGTTCGGACTAAGATGTTGGACCGAACGGACTAAGGTGTGTAGACCGAACGGACTGCTTAGCCATGTCGTCCGATCTAGGTCACTAGTCCGAGAGAGAAGGTCCGAAGGGGCAAGAGTCCGGACCATTGGTCTGGACCGAACAGTCTCGAGAGTCAGACCGAACGGACTGAAGAGTCAGACCGAACGGACTGACCATTCCAGACCGAACGGAAGCAGAAAGTTATGGGCATATTTAGACAACAGTCTCATACAGTGCCTACATATCGAAAAAATCGTCAGCAAGTTTCGATTGGTAATCCGATGATATGAAAATCAACCAAAACCTTTAATCTTCAATGGATAGGTGATCCATGATTCAGTCGTCGAGTCAAATCGCCAGCAATAGCCTCACAGTCCGGAATTCGAGCCACATAATCAACCAAAACTTTTAGTCTTCAATGGATAGGTGATCCATGATTCAGTTGTCGAGTCAAATCGCCAGCAATAGCCTCACGGTCTGGAATTCGAGCCGCACAATCAGCCATCATTCGATGGATAGATCAATTGTTGGCTGGTAATATTATCAACTTCATAACTTCCACAAAACATGCCCAGATAATTCTTTCTTTATAACATTAGAAAGCTCTTTTTTATATCTATGCATAGATGCTAAGATCATGCAGATCTAATATACGAGCAGAAAGTTATGTGCATATTTAGACAACAGTCTCATCGAGTGCCTACATATCGAAAAAATCGTCAGCCAACTCTCGATTGGTAATCTGATGATATGAAAATCAACCAAAATTATTAGCCGTCATTCATAAGATTATCCATGATTCAGCTGTCGACTCAAATCGCCAGCAGTAGTCTCATGGTCCAGAATTCGAGCCACATAATCAGCCATCATTCGATGGATAGGTCGATTGTTGGCTGGTGATATTATCAACTTCATAACTTCCACAAAACATGCCAGATAATTTTTTCTTTATAACATTAGAATGCTCATTGTCATATCTATGCATAGATGGCAAGATCAAGGAGATCTAATATACGAGTAGAAAGTTATGTGCATATTTAGACAACAGTCTCATCGAGTAATTAAATATCTACAAAAATCGTCTGCCAACTCTCGATTGATAATTCGATGATCTGAAAATCAACCAAAATTATTAGTCGTCATTCGATAGGTGATCCAAGATTCAGTTGTCGACTCAAATCGCCAGCAATAGTGATGAGCACGCACCGAGTTCTAAATTTGTAACCCGATTCGTACCACTATCCGCAAGTATACGATAGTTGTAGTACCGGGGTCGATCACGAGGACTAGGTTGTGTTAATCCATTCTTAAACTAGATCAATGGTGATGAAAAATATTGCTTACAAGGTGTTTGTGAAAATGTAAATATGAAAAGAAGATCAAACAAGCAAATGAAATTAATGAGTTGTAAACGATGGTTTGAGGCGTTGTAGGTTCGGGATCCCTCATGAATCGCATGGACGGTTAATGATGCTACAATGTCCTAGGGTTTGTCTTCCAATTGGGGATTTCAAGCACTTCCTTTAGAGTTTGTCTCTCCCGAGCTTAAACTCACTACCTAGACAATCAATTCGTCCATTTCCCAATGATCCAAATGATCTCTAGATGCATTGATGTACCCCATCATGAACCCTAAGCAAGCTAAGCCATCTCCCAATGTGAATAACTCACTCATTTGATATTTGGTTCCAAACATCATCCCCATATCCCTATGATCAATGTGTTCTATGGTCATATCAACTAGGGTTTCACCCAAATCAATAGCATTAAGCACAAAATATCAAACCAATGGAAGAAAACTCAAAGACATCATAGATTAAGCTTAGGTGTC